ATATATATATATATATATATATATATATATATATATATATATATATGTATGTATATATATATATATGTATTGGCGGCACAGATACGTGAGCTACGACCACCACCTGGAGGTATCGGAGCTGGAGGACGGGACACTGAATTGTCAGCCTGTGACGCTGAAGAGATGCGGGCAGCTGGAGCAGCGAGATTACCTGGGGCGTTGTGTGTCAGCAGCAGACTGCACAGAAGCTTGCGGCCCCGAGGGGGGCAGCTTCCTCAGCACTGTCGGTGTATGCGAGTGCGCCAAAGCCATCGCAGAGACAGCGCAGTGCGATGGCAGCTGCAAGGCAGCGCTGCCCACGGTAGTACTGGAGGGAAAGGAAATGGCGTTAAAATATTCTGAGACAGAAGAAACAACTATCCTGCAACACCCAGATATAGATCTTTCTGAAGCCTATTTATACTGTACTATGTTTAGGGTAAGACAGTATATACACCCGAGAAGAAGAGGAAATGCAGTACAGGCTGAGTCCTCGCAGCCGTAAGAATATCCAGCTGTGCGCACCTTTGTGGTGTATGTACAGCAACTGTTCGCTGGTATTTCAATCCCCTGCGACATCCATTTCCAACGGGCAGATGAATCGGGGCTGCATGCGCTTTATGTCCCCCCAAGCTCTCTCTGGTCTCCGTCGCGTCGCTGGCACAGTGGGCCTCAGAGTCGCCGCTTGTTTTCTCGGGCCCGCCGGAGCTCCTGGCTTGCAAGTGGAGGCAGTAAGAGGCTGAGCAGCGACCACGAAGTATATACTCTACAGGGATCAGGGGCCCTTGAACAGCCCCGGCGCGGTGCTGCACAGTTCAGAAACTCTTATACAGAGCGCTCGATCTCGGCGCTGCAGTCTATGACCGTCGACAACTCCGTCATCTGTATCATCCAGGGCTCCTCAATTGTATGGGAGCTCAAAGACGGAGTTTACCCCATATACGTCACGGTCAGCCCGGCGTCCTGCATACATAGAAAGCAGCGCCAGCATACAAACAGCAGTTCATACTGAGGTCGCTGCAGTGGCCCTTCTTCTGTTGCTTCTGCTATAGCTAGCAGCACACGAAGCCCTCTGTAACATTGTAGTGGTGGTTATGTGTATCACTGCATATAACAATATATACCATCGTAGTGCTGGTTATAACTAGCAGTGGCTATAGCTGCTTGTATTACTATAGTGTTGGGGGGCAGGGGGGGTCGGGGGGGAGAGGGGCTGCACGGGCTATTGTGAACGGCGGTGTTTTTTTTTTTTTTTTGCATTCTCTTTGCTGCTTTTCAGGATTCTCTCTTGAATACAGGCAACACGTTCGACAGCAGTGGCCTCAGAGCACTGGCGAAACAGGTTGAGGAGGGGAAGAGCCCCAGTTTCTTTATTCAAACTTTTGAGGCTGAGGGGACCTTCGTCTTCGCCTCATCGATGCAAAACTCCAAACTTTCGCTTGTGCGAGTTCTGCCCCCAGGCATGGATTGCCCAGGAGACACTGGGTATGCCTCATTCAACAACTCTGCATGCATGCAGGGATCAGCAGCAGCCTCTGGAATATATGTGTGGCCTCATCACTCTCCGCAGCAACGCAACTGTGCCGTGGGATCCTAGCTGCATACTTAACCGCTTGCTGTTCTGCTTGCTTTCGGGTGGTGTCAGTGCATCTTCTTGGGTGCAATGAAGAGGCAGAGTTCACTTCTCTTTCTCTAATTTCGGTTTCAAGTGAAACGTGATGTGGCTTCAACTTGTGTTCAGATATCCTACTCCCATTCGTCTCCGCGCACTGAGCCTGTTGGCTATATCTCTATGGACAAACAATATCTTACTCGATCCAGACTGGGTCCTTCTTGTGGGGTTGCTGCTAGCACTGGTGTTCGTCGTGCTGATCCTCCTCAGCATAGCTGCTCGCTTCGTCCGCCACCGCTGGCCTTCTGCACAGCCACCAAGCAATGTAGTATCTGCTGTTTGCCTTGAAGGCTGTACTACGCTGGCTCTCAGAAACCATAAAGAGCCTCAACATCTAGCAGCAGGTTTCTATTCTAGTTACATGAGGCCGACGGGTTCAACTCGCATCGTACACTACAGAATACGAGATGATCTGCTCGACAGCACGGTGAGTTCAAACTTGAAATTTTCATAGGAAACTCTTCATTCAGTTTCAGCATCTATGGTGGGGTCCAGTGCACAGCTAGCTAGCTGAAGGATGAAATCCTATAGAATAGAATAGAATAGAAAATAATATAGAATAGTATAGAATACAAGACCACAGCATTCGACAGCAAAAATTTAGTGGCTGCAAACAACAACTACGCTTGCGACATCAAGAGCAGCGAGCTGCATGGGGCACCGCACGACACGGATGTTTTTCCTTGGAAACCCTGTGATGCTGCCTCACAGGAACAAGAGCAATATGATCCTGTTGCCGATGTAAAGCCGGCTCTTGACCGCCTGCATGTTGAAATAGACATTCAGGACCTCCGCGTCGTGCAAGTAAGGGCTCCTCAGCAGCAGTTCCCCCCAACTAGTTTTTGCGCTTGAAATCAGGGAAACTTTTTCTTGACTTTCAGCTGACTGCTGCATGCACAGACAGTGCAAATAGTCTGGAAAAAGATATTCATATTTCTATGTGGAAAGTTTGATCATGGCATTGTCTGCTTTGGCTTTCCTGCATTCTCAGGCAACTCTTGAGAAACTGTGCGACATGAGAAGGGCAGTTACACATCTGCTAGACCAGGAGATGCAACGCGAAAAGGAGACGTGCGCAGAAGCAACTCAGCTGGTGAGAAAAGGAGAGGGTTGTGGCCTCGCATCGGCATTTGCTGTTGCAACTTGAACTTGTTGTCTATCTACCTTCAAACGTATAAAAGCATTTATATGAATAACAAAAGGCACAAGCCCCTATCATATCGTTCACTCTACCTGCAACGGTGCGGCCGCAGGTTGGGAAGATGCTGGCTTCGTTGCAAGAAAGGGTTGACTCAGCGCAGCTGAAAGGCACTTTGTCAATAAGCAGCCGGCACGTGACCGCGCTGCTGCGTTGCATCTTGTCGGCCCTTCAAGGGCCTGAGAAGCGCCAAGAAGCTGAGGAGAAGCTCAGAGAACTCGATGGAGAACTTCAAGCCAAGCAAGGTCAAGAACAACCCGTTCTCAAGCGGGGAAATGCGGGCAACAAGGAAGCAGAGATACTGAGGGCTTGTGTCGCAAAGGCGGGCCCATCTGTCTTTGACTCCCTGGATGTAGCCATCAGGACTGCAAAGGAAGTACGTACTCCATTGAACTCCGCTACATACACGTGCATGAGCTTGCAAGAGAACCTAGTGCTCGAGGTGCACACAGCAGGGCAAGTATTAGGTTCTTTAGAGCGGACGATACTGTGCGAGGACGACAGTTGAGTGTAGTCGGGGAAAAAAAAAAATAAATTTCAAATAAAAAGGTTTAAACTCAAGAAAGGGCGGGCACGGGGGGTGGTTCTCAGGAACATTCTACCTTGATCACCGAACTAGGACAGCATCTGTTCTTGATGGCTGTAGTGGGAGACTGCTGCTCCTCTTGCTATACAGCTTGGCCTTGGAGTCTTCAGCATTTTTCCCTCTTTCATGTTGCAGTGCATTTGCATCTGTGATGTGGTTGCAGACCAAGGAGTCGGTGGAAGATATTCAAGAGGTCACCGATCAGTTTTCTTCGAAGGCTACAACAGACCCCGACGGCCAACGACACTTCATGTTGGCTTCGGTGTACGACTTGCTGCTGAAACGCGAGTCCAAGCAGGTTGCTGCCCGGTTCAAAAGTCTATCGTATTTGCACAGACATGTGGACCTGGCGGAGCGTAGAATGAAGGAAAAAATTGATGCTTTCACAAACATATGCAATATCTCCAGACAAGAAATGTTGTCTCTTCAAGTCACCCAGAGCACTGGCATCTTAGAGTGGCAGCAAGCCAGTCTCATCGAAAGGGCCAGGGAAGATGACCGGTAAGCTCGCTTGCTCACTTCGGTGCATGCATGCGGTGTCCCTCGCTGGCTAGTATAGATGTTTACGAGATATCCTCTCAAGTATCAATGCACGTATGTGAACTTTTCCCCCTTGGGAGACACAGCGGAGCCACCAGGAAGCGGAGACCTTTGGTGTGCTCGTGCTCCGCCTTGCTGCAGACTCCTAAGCGACATGTCAGGCCCGCTGAGTCGAGTCTTTCAAGAGGTACAGTTGACGCCCAAAGCTACGGCATGCAAACTCCGTCGGTTGTGAAGTTTGTTCCTTAACGAAGCAGAAGCGACACAGCGCAAGCCCTGCAAAGCAGGCGCTTCATCCCCCCCTCTCTCGGTGCTTGACGCTCTGACCAAAAGAACCCTGCCTGTGGCATATGTAATTTCCCTTAGGTGCTAGCAGAATTGATGGTAGCCCGCGACGACGAAGTTCCTTCTGTTGTGAACAACCTGACGGGCTCTATTGGGTCTATCATCCAGCAGAAGTGCGCCAAGTCAGTTGGCAACTGGACTCAGTCGGCCTACACCCGCAATGCAGGGAAGCAGCTGAAAGAATTGAAGCAACAGCAGGAAACACAAATTAAAGCGAAGACAGACGCACAGATGGAACTGCTGCGGACTTCGCTGCAAACTGCTCATGACGCGATAGCGAGACATTCGCATGTGTTGGCTGACCGCGAAAAGTCTGCACTGGCGAAACTCCATAAGGCCTTTAAGAAAGAAATTCGATCGATTTATGCAGCTGCAGCTGAAAAGGCGGCTGCAGCAGCAGATACACAGGCTGCAGCTTCAAGCTTAGCGCGCAAGTGCAAAGGCAGCTCAGCAGGACTCATACAGGAAATGGTAACAGCTCATCTCGTTACGTCTGAGGAGGAGGCTGATGGCCCGCAAACACCTCTAGCTTTGGACCCAGAGCGCATTGACGAGATGAAGAAGCGCGCACTAGAAGCCGTGGCAGCAGCTTTCTCTAGGCGTGAGGAGTTGCAAAAACAGTGCGAGGCTCTCAGGCTCGAACATTTAGAAAACCGCCATCAAGCCCTGCAAAAGTTCATCGCGGAGTCATCTCGGCTGGCTGTAAGGTCACCGCTTCTGGGGATCGTTACGCTGTGGAGGAGGTTCAGCATCCTTGGCTTGTCGTGTTTGCCTCTACTCACTGTGCAACCCCCCATAGGTTTGCCTTGTCTCAAGCATACGACTCAGTTTTCAATATGGCTGTAGCATATCTCATCTAGTAGCCGACGGATGCTGTGTTTCTGCAGTCCGATCGAGCACGAGGTGCAGTCGCCAAGATTTCAGTGCTGGCTGAGACCGCTGCATCGGAAGAGGCTAGTCTTGGGGCCCCTCTATTGCGGCATATGGGTCTATCGCGAGCTTTCGAGGACTTGTCTCAAGTTCGCGCTTTGCCTGATACTACCAGAGATCGAATCCAGGAACTCAGGGAACAGCAAAAGGCGGGCTTTCAGAACCTTATAGAATCCCACACTAAGCAATTCAGAGTCGCACACGCGGTGGCGGTTGTCGGCCTCAAACGCACGTAGGTCTTATGGAAGCGCTCGCCACCCAAAGGAGTCTACACGCATGCAACCATGGTGACTGCTGGAAATGACTCAATATGTTTCTGCCTATGCTTGAATTGGTCCCGTATTTACCCAGAAAAAAAGAACAGAGAATCGCTGCATTTGACTTGTCGCTGAAGGCCAGTTTCCTTCTGGCGCAGCCACATATTCGCAAGCTTCAAACGGCAGCTTGAATGTCTCAACAGCAAAATTTTCCACATCGACATTCCCGTTGAGAGCTGAACAGCTAGCTCCCCTCTGTCAATTAGGCCCATACCAATGTGAAAACTACTCCGTGTGTTTCCTCCCCTTTCTGGCATGCAACGTGCAGAAACGGTCGGTACATTGAGGGATTGAAACAAGCAATGTTCACACACCGAGAAGAGACAGATAGTTTGGCTAAGGAGGCAGCAGAGAAGATCGCAGCTCTCCATCGAGAAGACATGAGAGAGAGGACGCAGCTTAAGGTTCTAGTGGAGCAAGTGAGTGGCTAGCACTGGCTATTCGTGGGAGCACAATACTCAGTTCTAGACTCTAGTCAACTCTTAGAATTAGCAACAATTTCCTTCACAAATGATAGCCACGATATGTTGTGAATCTGAACCACAGAGTATATCCCAGGGCTTCCTATTGGGGGTAGAAGCAGACGTCCGCGCCCAAACGTTCCAGAAGCAGCTGAACCTCCTGGAGGGTTACAGGGGTCACCAATACGATATTCATGAACTAGAATCTCGGCTTAAGGAGTTAGCCAGCGGGGAGCAGGATACAATCAAGCGCGCACGCGTAAGTAACCAGCGAACTCCACAAGCCCGAAGCTGGTTTCCCCGTCGAAAACACAGCTACAAGCTGTGTTCTCGACTTGCTTTCTGGTGCTTAGGCAGGGTTATGCGTGAAAGGCACTGAGTAGCCCCAGTTAAGGTAATACTCACGATTCATTTGTTCACCCCAGTTAAGTTAATACTCACGATTCATTTGTTCACGTGTTCAGGACGAAGAGGAATCTCGGCTTACCGGCGAAATTACATCATTCGAGATGCTAAGTGCAAAGGAGGAGGAGCTGCTCGAGCTCCTTCACACAGAAAAAATGCGGGGCAGCGATGTAACACATCTGGAGATTGCTGCAACCGAAGTACACGAAGCGGAAGTCCAGAGTACCACTGCTCGGGTTACCGAGCTGCTGCTGCAGCATGCAGAAACGAAGGCAGCGGCAATGATCAGCATATCTGTGAGTGTATGAGACTTCCCAATTGTAGGCCTGCAGTCTGTTGGTTGTGTTTACACGAAAATATTCCCGTTGGCTTGCCGCTCTGCTCTCGCCCTGCACTTATTGGTTTCATCAATGCTTAGCTAATTCCTGCAGACTGGCGGCGCTTCAAGTGTAGACGCAGACATAGCTGATTACTGCTCAAGCTGGGAGAAGGTGCTCGCTACATCAGCATCAAATAAGGCTGAAGAGACGCAGAGGCAAAAGGCGGCATATGGCGAACGTATACGCAGCCTTTCCAAGTCCCAGGAAGCTAACAAAGCTTCACGGCGCAGGCAGCAGCTGCACGTCTCTCATGAAATCATGGAGGTGGGACCCGTGGCTCGCCTATGGCTCTGTATAATACATATTGACGGTCTAGGAACCCTTGCCCTTTCCCACTTTCAGTGTCTCCGTTTGTGTGCACACATGATAGTGGTGAACCTGGTCATCCAAGCGTCACTCATGGTTGGTTACTGCGTGCTTCTGATTTCTCTTTGACAGCTACAACAGTACCAGGGCCCGCTGGCGAATGAAAAGGGCCGCTTTATGAATGACTTGCTGCACCAACTCGCTCTCCACCAGGCGGATATCGAGTTTGAAAGGGAGAAAGCCCGAATAACTGGCAAGCAGGAAGAGGAGCTACGAGCAGTAGAGGCTGAACTGGAACAGCTCGAAGCCTTAGACCAACAGATGCAACAGGCAGGTTCCGCAGCAGCAGGAGACGCAGCTGCAAATGCAGAAGGGTCATCTGAAACTACCGGAGGGGCTCAGCAGACGGGAGAAGACCAACAAAAATCCAGCGCGGAAGCGGGATCAGCTGAGGAAGCAAGCGGGAGCCCCGATGGGCTTGATAAGAGTGCAGAGAGCGCTGATGGTGAGGAGAGTGGAGAAGGCGGGCGACAATCAGCGACGCAGCCCGACGAAGAAGCAGCGGCCAACAGACGGCGGCAGCTAGAGATGGCGCTAGCTTCAGGGGACATTAGCGCAGCCCAGGCGCAGCTCATGGAGGAATACCGAGAACGCATGAGGCAGGCTGAGACAGCCAACGATCAGGAAAGGCTAATGCAGGACCAGCGCGCCCAGCAGTTGCTGCAAGAAAGACGACAGCGCCTGCTGGAAAAGAAGGCCCGCCTTCAAGCTGAGCAACAAAAAGCTCTGGAGGAACTGGAGAAGGAGAGGCAGCTGAAGCTTGATAAGCTGCAGCAAGAACTGCAGCAAGACCTCGTTGACTTTTCCATCGAATTCGAAGTAGAACCACAAGAGCTCGACAAGCTTGCCAGGCAGTTCTGGACAGAATCCAACCAAAGGTATCAACGGCAGCTGCGAGAAATGGAGAAGAGGCATGCGCAACAAATGGAGGATGCCTATGACCGTTTCATTCAAGACTGGGCTGCGCGTCACGACGGCGATATCGACGTAAGTATATGTGATTACAAAAGTTTAATATTCCTTTTTCTGGGATACAGGGATGCTGAGTTTGCGCTCCCTATGCAATCTCCATACGTGAGACAGGGCAGCACAACCCACACGATCCGTTGGAGTTCCACTGCCGTTTGCTTCAGGCTGAGCTCCAGCTGCGGCATGCAGGTTGGAGAGCTGCTTCACGGCACATAGAGGACAACCAGTTGCACGAGAAGTGCGAGCTAGAAGATTCATGGCAAGCATCCCTAGAAGGTAGGATCGTAACTAGAAGAGAAGAACAATTGTTAGGAAACGTGCAGCAACGTATGCAATGATTCGCTTTCTTCCTTTGTCTCTACGTGGGAATCATACTGAGTTGCTAGTGGCTGGGCCCCTACAGCTGTAGGCTGTGAAAGCCCCGTGACGTTACTGTTGCATTAGTCTATGCATTGGCCTCTATATCCCCTAACTTTGCAGTATCCCCTTCGTGCAAGGCTCCTTGTCCATTTATGTACAGGGAAACTAAAGCTGTTGGCTGCGAAAGGCAGCGAGACGGCGAAGGCATATTTGGAAGAGACGAAAGAGAGTCAGTTCTAAGGGAATAGAGGGCCACATGCAACGCCCGCTGCCGCAGTGATCGCAGTGACTTCAGATGCCGCTGGAGGAGCTATTTACCCATGCTCCAGGATTAGTGATCGATATTTTCATGCGTGTTTTGTTCCTGGGTATATCGCAAAGGGGAGACGTTCGTTGCGTATCATATTTGTTGCAGTGAGAGCATCCATGGCTGAGGTGTGGAAGCAGCGGTTTGAGGCAATTCACCAAGAACAGCTTGCCGCTCAAAGGGCAATGCAGGAGAAGGAGGCAGCGTACAAGGCACATGTTGACGAACGAATCAAAGCTGTCGAGGTGAGGATTCGTCCATGCATTCACCATCTGCAGGGCACTTCTTTTTGCAAACAACGAAGAGCATGCGCTGCGGAAAGCTGTCTTCAGCTGTGTCTCTTACAGAGTTACTTGGCCTCATGCAACGACATTCGATGTCAATAAAAAAAGCAATTGTATCTTATAACTTGCATCGCTGGCGTTCGCACTTGTCTACGCGTGCTAACGACCGCTTTGTTCCTCTACCACATTCGCCCCACTGCTCGAATCTATCAAAGTTTCTGTCGATGGACTGCAGGCGCAATGGGCACAAAAGCTAGTTGACCTGAAAAACGAAGAGTGGTCGAAGGTGCAACAAGCTCAGGAGCTGGCAGAAGCTGGTTTGCAGGAAAGGAGAAAGATGATTGATGCGGCCATTGAAGCAAGGGCGAAGGCATGCAAAGGAGGAGCTGAAGGAGCAGACGGGGTGCACGGAAATGCAGTGAACGAACGATTGTTGAATGAACTCGCAGCGGACTTGCGGCAGCTCCAGCATGCCCTTCAAGCTGAAAAGAACCGCCAGAACGCCATATATCACGAGAAATTGCTAAACAGGATGCAGCGGAGAAGGAAGCGCATCATTACGGATGCAGCAAAGGAGCGAAAAGCCATGGAGCAAGAATCTATTGAGCAGCAGGCACAATTGCTCAGTCAGCAACTTCACCGGCAACGATTTTTGTTTGGTCGGGCAAAAACCCACCAGGTCAGTAGCTCTCGTCACTGTGGTACCTTTACCCAACTTCCGATCGCTAACGCGCTCAGTTTTCAGTTTCTGTTTTGCACAGGGCAGTCAGCCTCTCAACCATTGGTCAACTATTGTTGCGTATGCTTAGCTGCATTCGACGACTTATGACAGTGCCGTTTTCGCAGAATACACGCCCCCAATGGGAGAGCAGTGTCAGGCTGTTCGTGATATGTGCAGGTGGCGCTCAAGTTCTCGCACCAGTGGCTGGCGAAAGCCCGGAAACACCTGCGGGCTCTTGCAGAAGGCACAGATGAAGACGAGCGCAAGCTTCACGAATTTTCGGAGAAGGAATTCTATAAAAGATGCGCTCGCATGCGGTAGGTACTCCCGGAGAGGTGCAAAAGCTATTTTCCTGGGCAAAAAGCTCGTGGATCTCACATTTACAGGCGGCAATTCTACCTGCTCGTCCGTAATTCATTCTCGTGTAGCAAGGTATGGAGCTAGCTGTCTAGCTGTGCTTCATCAAGTTTCTCTGCTAACTATGCTTGTGGTCTTTTGCGCGCAACGCAGCACGACACTGGCGAAGAGCATGAAGCAAGTTGAAATGCTCATCAGGAATTTGGTGCCGGAAAAGCGATCACGAGAGTTAACAAAGGGAGAAGCCGGGGCAAGTCTTAAGGAGGATCATGAAAGCCAGGCCGCTCGCCTGAAAATGTGCCTCCAGGAGGTGAGCAAATTAAAGTTGGTTCCGTCAAACTTTCAGATAAATCTACCTATCCATATTCTGGATGTTGATTGGTTGCACCCTGTTGTAGAGCTACTCTACACCTCCCACTCACCGTGTCTTCCCCTGTGCCAAATGGAACCACAATTTGGTGCTTCTGCTGCGTATGCGGCCACAGGTTTCCAAGTCCACTGCCCAGCTCAACATCGTCCAGCGCAGGTTTCTTGGTCCCCGCACCTAGGGCGCAGATATTCCAGTAATAGTTTCTAGTTTATTGCGATTCTGAGTCAAAACCCCGCATGTTGGCATTCATTAGTGGGGTAGAACTATCAGTATTGGCTTCCATCTGTTTTGCGTAGCGATCAGCCGGCCATATCCCGTGCTCTGGTCAGTGCGGCCACCACCGGCTGCCTACACTATTCCCACACATTTCGTTTTGACTCATTCCTTTTATCTTTTTTACGTATATCTGCCCTCGTAAAGCAGTGTGCTGCTTACAGCTCCTGATTCAATTCGAGTAGTCGCCTATTCCGGTCTGTTCTTTAAGTACAACTTTCGCCCAAGCCCAAGCCTTTGCGGGTTAACTGCCACAAGCTAGAAACGCGTGCTGTTTCTCTTGTTCACGCGCCCCGCATCGTTAAGTATTTCGTTAGACAACAACATGGCATATCCAAGCTAGGAACCCTTGGGGCTTGTACCGTTCATGTGGCGTCATAGGATATATATAACTAGTTTACAATTTAGATCATGACAATGCTTTACAAACGGCAGCATCACTGGTAGGCGTGGTGGATTGACACTGTTGCAGACCTATGTAACTAGCGAGCTCAAGATGGTGGTGTTTACAGTAGCGGCATTCAGGCACTCTGTATAGCCACAAGTAAAGCAGAATACTTCACGGCACATACAACAAGAGAAAGGTCCCCTAAGATCCTCCGCATTAGTGCAAAGACGGTCCGCATTGTAATCTGTTGAACTAACGAGTTTACATGCATGCGTATAAAGCTTTTGCATTGGCGCAACGATCAATCAGCGCTAGACGCACGTAGATATTCAATTTTGTTTGGCTTGATTGCCTTCCCGTTAAAATCTCACTACACAATTGTATCATTTTGGGTCAGACTTCAGTACTCTCACAGGTGTCCTGCTTTCAACAGTTTCCAACGCCATTCAGTTGCGTCCAACAAGATATCTGCAGTGTAACGAACAAGTAAACCGTCCGGCGGATCGATTTAAGGTGTACAGGGGGTCAGGCGTTGTCCCTGAATGTAAAATTCCGAGGTTAAGCCTACGTATTTGTATGGATTGAGATTCCACTTGGTTACAGCAGCCTTCATCCAGTGAAACTCGCCATACAGGTCTCCATTACACACACCAGTAACTAAATATTATCGTTGCAAGGCCCGCGATTTTAGAAACAGAGTTTGTCAACGAACTACACCCAGCAGTAGCCATGTTATGCGGGCGAAAGTAGTAGTCCTCCATACGGTGACGTAAGTGCTCTCTAGATGGAACACCACAGCGCACGAACGTGAGTTGTACCTGAGCACCCTGAACTCACCGACGGCTTATAAACTGTTGTATGTTGAACATGCATCTAAAGTAAAGGGAAGGCAGCACAGGAGCGGGAACGTATCACTATCACTCTGAGTGTATGACCTGGCTGCAGGGGTTAGCATTGTTTTGTTGCTGTTCCACTCGGTTTCAAGCCACCGCTGCTGGCCCTTCCACAACACGCACACGTTCCTTTTTCACGGGTCGGCAGACAGTGAAACAGAATACTAGAAAAACCTGGGGTAAGCCAGCTTTGACACTGCATTTCATTGCTGGTGTCGGTGACCCTTAGGGTCGTTCGGCGTATAACGGAAGTGTTGACGCTGGTGGAAGCAATTCGCTCTTTTCATTATACGTGATTCTGTCCAAATTTGTAACATAAATTTTGGAAGGTGGAATAAACTAATATTTGTTGGCTGCGTCGCATGCAGCCCATGGATTGGGATGGTCAGCACTGTCTGGCGAGGAAGGGCTTGCTGGAAGTACTTCGTTAAATACAGAAGGGAACTATATGGGGTTCCAGAACGACTTTTATTTAATTTTTAGATTGTTAAAGACAGCGACTAGGTGGTTGGGGTAACGCCCCATAGCTGGCTGTAAGTAGGTTTCGGACTACGTACGGGAGGGAGCCGAAGGCTTAGGTCTAGTAACAGGCTGGCGCACAAAGTACTGCATAAAGAGAAAACACGGTTTCATCCGCTAAAATGATTTCCAAACTCATGTTTCCCCTTTAACGGAAACGCATGCTGAGCCGCCACGCGAAGACCACCTGCCTCCCTGCACACACCTAGCGCCCCGTGCAGGATCGACATTTGAAGAGGGGTAGCACCATTCTGCAATTTGTTCAGTCCTTCCCTCTGGCCAAGGGAATGTTGCTGGAAAGCAAGTTTTTCGCTGCCTTGCTTCTCGTCACAGCTAGCCTTGCGCCACAGCCGACAAAGGGGTGGTGCTACCTGGAAGGGTTTACACTCGGCAGGGGGCGGAGGCTCTATTTGCTGAAAGCCAAGGTCGAAAATGACTGTGCAAGGGCATGTGAAGATGTTTCGCCCTGTACTCATTGGTCCTTTGACAGGGGTAGGAGCTACTGTACGCTGAGAACGGAGGATCCTGAAGAAAAAATGCTGATCCGCAGACAGGACGATGCATTGTCAGGCACAGAGGATTGCTCCCTGGCTATTTCGCGTATGTACTGCTCCTTCACATTAATTAGTTAAGCTCACTCATCCAAACCCCAAAAGACAGCAGCATTCCAGCAAGATTACCACACATGAGGAACCGGCTTCCAATTGCGATGCCCAACCACCGGATCTAGAAAGCACTGTGTGACTTGCCACTTATACACATTAGATTGTTTGAAAGCATTTTTATTTGTCTTGCATCGCTTTGTCGACTCAGTGACGAATGGTGGATATTCGTGTTTTTCTGATGGGTGGACGGTCTTATTAGCCGCATCCGATCCCTTGTCGTCGGAAGAGCAACGCAGATCACAGCTTTTACATACTGGCGCTGCTCTAAACGCAAACGATTGCCAGCTTCTTTGTCAGGAGACCGATGCGGGGTGCGTCGTTTGGGAGTGGGACGTATTGACGAAGGACTGCCGATTATGGGGGAGCGAGATAACCCTGCGCCGCCCAGATGACTTGCCTTTGGGCTATTCTGTGTATACGTCTCCTATTGATGAAGCTCCAGACGACGTTCCAGATGCGCAGCGCAGCGACGATACAATGGAAAAAAGACTTGAAACGATGAAGACCGTCATCGGTCCACGCATCTGTCCACGTCCCCTTGTCGTGGAGTCCAGAGAAATGAACGAAGTTGCGTCTCGCTCTACGCAATGCACATTCCCTACAGGTGCGAGATTTTGCACCCTAGCAAGCCTGAAACAAAAGTTCCCTATTTCAAGGTCCCTATATTGTAGTTAACTAAAATAATAAGCGGACGCTCAGTCTTGCACTACTACGTACATATTTTGCACACCCAATGGAAGTAGGCGTACGCTATAGGATTCGGTTGCCGGAAATACCCAAATTCGCTCTTCCCACTGATACGCTCATTCTTCTTCCAGCATTGCCTCTATTAGCTGATAGCGAAACAGCCAATGTTACTGATTACGCATCGCTCCCAGGATAGTTCACTGGGTCATATGCGAAGGATCCACACACCTTAGCAGTGAATTTGCATGCTGCAAAATGAAGCGATCCATAAGAGTCTGTGCGTGTTTACTCAGTGCGGTTATATCCATGGAGAGCCTTAACTCGGCTTAATGTTGGTCAAAATTCGTTCACCTTACACGCATTAAATACTAGTCTCCATGATGGTCAGGCAGACGCAGGGCATTTCCAGATTTTTCTTACTATTTCAGCGTTTCCAAGTGAGACATTACAGCGCGCAGAAAGAAGCATGATTCAAATAAAGCACGAAGCACTCCAAACAAAAAAACTCACGGGTGTTTTCGTGGGGGTTGACAGCAAAACCCCTACAGTGAAAGCTATCACTGACAAGGTTGCCTCTCCCGAGGCGTGTCAAACATTGTGCAAAAGCACAAAGAGCTGCGAAATGTTCACTTACTACATCGACGGTCGCTCCGGGGCAAATTGCGTCCTCAAGAGAGCTATTCTGGTTAATGAAGCATTTATCCATCCTGTCGCTATCACTGGGAGCACCACGACGACCACCGCTCTTGCGCGTAAGTTCATATGCTCCCCTCCTAACACCCCCCATAGTAAGGACTTCCCTCCCCAAAAAAAAATAATGGACTGCAGTTGAACATTTCAATTAATGCTGCCGATATTGAAAGAATGGTATCGACATGCAGAGCTCCTATGCGTTGTCCTGTGCAATCGCCAGTGCGTGGAATGAAGTTCGGCTATGAAATGAAAAACAGTACGATTATCACGCCAGAGAATCCCGGCGACTTTACGGTAGGTGTGACGCACGAACAGATGTTCCAAATGACATCCAAGGTGGATGCACTGGCTAAGGAGGCTTGCACTTTGCTCGGTGTAAAAGGTTACGCAGTTATCGATTATATTAGCCAGGCAGTCCATGCAGTTGCAGCCAGCGGCGCCACGGAAAGCGTCAGCCCCAGTCTCAATTACATAAACTGTAGCAAAGTGAGCTAAACTCATTTACTCATTTTTAATTCGTTTTTTCGGGTTCTTACGCCCATGAGAAGTCATAACACCGCAATAGCCGCTTTCGACTCTATACGCTATGCTTAACAGTGAATAGACCCCGGCCCGCTGGACCAAATTGTATCTGGGCAATAGGTCGCTTCTCCCCGTCTACCACTGGTAAGAATAAGGGCGCGTATTTGACGGTTAAGGTGGTCCAAAAGTCATATCATGCCAAGAGCAGTGCATTTGTTTCGGGAGCTCGCTCGCGAGTAACTATTCAGCTAGAGTAGCCCACTCCTACAAAACCTACTATAGGTTTCAAATTGTCTGCTCCCAAACGTCCCATTTAAGAAGCCGTGGTCCTGACCCCATTTCGCTTGCCAACGCGGCGAGAGAGTGCACTTAGAGCTACATGCAAACACCCATGCACATCCCAATTTTGCGAGTTTCTGTGACTCCCATGATACTAAAGGAGAAGCTCCATGCAAATGCTCTAGCAGCCTATGGCGCTTGATACACATTTGGAACAGCGCAGCATGGAGGGCATGTACTCTCATTCCATGTAAGCGCC